GAACTAAAGACCAGTGATCACCGCCCTGTTGGTGCTATAATGGATATAGATATTTCTGTGGTGAGATTAATTCGATGGCCAGACTTTTCAACTATGCCATGCGATTGCTCTGCTAAATTGCTGGTACTTGAATAAATTAAAAATATACTCTATCTATAGTCTAATCAAGGCTCTAAGCGAGACTTTGATCAAATTTAATTCAAGAACAAAGCATTCCATCTTTCAAATCTCGATTGAGGACTGTAAGTCAACTTTATTGTAGAGCGACAAATGGCGCTGAAGGATCTCTTTGATTATGCTATTATGTGATGACAACGGCCACTGTATGGTATTTTGTAATCCAAGTTATATTAGATAAATCGTACATATGTTGGCCAAGTTGGTGTATCCTGTTTGGTCGCAGTCTCCTTTGTCTTTATAATCCTTGTTTGACCTCATTTACGCAACTTGCTGATGGCGTCATGGGGACATTGTGAAACGTGGCTAGTCCTCGTCTTCTGCCATAGTATTCATGATTTCCAGCATCGGACCTTTGGTACATTCCCAGACGTTTTTCCAGCATCGTCATTAAGAGGCCTCGTCGTTAGCACAGAGCTACAATTTATCAGTTGCAAATGAAAGCAACTCCTTTAACTAATTTCCTGCTCAAACTTTGTTGCATCACTCGTCTTTCCTCTACCTTCTAGTGCTGCATCATTTTCTCTCAAACCCACTTCCTATCACAAATTCAACTATTTACACCATTCTATGCTCTCGTTTCCTCCAGTGTCGCCACAAATAGATGTAGTGAAGCGTAATCATCTTTATCACTTGGGCTGGATCACCGAATGAAATCGGTCGACCAGAAAGATAAGAAACGGATCTACGGGCCCTAGACAGATTTAACTATGAGGTCTGAATCGGATCAGCAACTCGAAATTGAAGGCAGCAAAGCACACAGCGGGTATGATGGCTAAAAGAGCACATCTCTTGAGGAGGGGAATATAAACATTTCAGAAGTTGTGATGGGGCGAGAGTGAGACAAGTGGGTAGGGCGTAGAACAATCGTTTCTGCAAAGAGTTTGGTCAAGAGATTGATTCATTTGTCCTTTGACGATTGCGTCTTAGTTCTGACGATGCCGGCGAAGCGCCTAAAATACACCATATCCACCGTCCGACGCTTGCAAATATGATAAATACTATATTTTTCGTATGTTAGTAAAATTTCGGGACTACTAGTAAATCAGTAATATGATATGTATTTACCCTATTTTATTTAAGGTGGTGGAAGACTGGTTGTAGAATTTTTCCACAATGATATGGGTAGAGCTGACGTTTCCATTGAATTACACATAGCCTTGTTTTCCTCAAAGTTCTTCTCATCCAGGAAGCAAACGTATATTTGCTTTAATAAGCGACTACGTTACTTATTTTTCGTATGTGAGTGGAGTTTCGAAACTACCAGTAAATCTATAATATAAGATATATATTTACCCTATTTCTCATATTACTCTACTTACATAAGAAAAATAAGTAACGTTGTCGATTGTTGTAACTTCATCGATAATCTCACCAAAGAATGTGATATGGCAGTGGTGACCAAACTTTTTCTAGTCGCGGCGCCATTTTTTAATTAAAATTTTTCAATGGCGCCCTACCGTAAGAATGACTATTCGTAAGTAAGAGATAAAAATAAATAAAACCCGTGTATCTTCATTATTTTTTTTACTTTATTAACATTAAATTAATATTTAATAATTAATGTTATGGATGAGCCTGCAAATCACTGCATATTTTATCAAATTGACTCCTTTACAATATTTCGCAGTGCCCCTGTAAAAAGGCCGCGGCTCCCCGAGGCGGCGCGCGAACAGTTTAGTAATCACTGTGATATGGAAAAAGGCCTGGCCTTCTTTGTAATTCATATCTGCCCTGTGACCCAATTGCGTCGTGGCAATGTGACTGAGTGGTTAACGTGTCAAGTTCACATTCTGGACGGTCGCGGTTCGACTCTCGTGTTCGGGGTGTTGATGAGACCTATGCGAGGTCGAAACTGCAGTCAACCCTGGATGAGAACAACTTTTGGGAAAGCAATGCTATGTGAAATTCAATGGAAACGTCAGCTCTACTCATATCATTGTGGGAAAATTCTACTATCAGTATTTCATCACCTTAAACGAAATAGGGTGAATACATCTCATATAAATAGTATAGCAAGATGCGTCAAACTAAGTCGCCCTGACAACAGGACCAAGTTGTGTAAACGAATCAGATCGCATCTTTCGAGATGGATGAAAGTTAATAGTAACCCTCAATATTCATATTTATTGAGAAAGATAGTATCTTGAGATGCCAAACATGTCTTAGATATCAAAATTTATTCCATTATCTATCCACATACTTTTATCCCTATTCATTCAATTCAGATCGAGCCAGAGCAGCGAAAGAAAGTCGTCCTCGAAGAACTTATAAGTCACGGTCCGATGGATGCAACCGTTCGCCTCAAGTGCACCCTTGAAACGATAACCGATGAACCTGGTGAAAGAAGTATCTCTATAAAGTTTCCGGACAACATTTCCTGCTTTGACAATGTAGCATTTTATGATCACCTTATTGCCATGACGTCTATGAAGGCTGACACATTGCTTATTCGTTTTATTACTTCTGATACGGTACTGCTAATCTACTCTGATCCTAGGTAATTCATTTTTAAGAATGACCATTTAGTATTGGACTCGATTTTGAATTTCATGCTCTGCTTTAAGGAATCGCTGCGGTTAGTCATCTCTGCAGCTTTATTTGGATTTCATACCCTTAAGCTTATAGGTAGATACGAAAACCACGATGCTGAGGCCTGTATTTTGGCCACAATCTCCTTTCGATGTATTGTAGACACTTGACGTTTTCTAACTGAGCCATCTTGGCAAGAAGACCTAGATGAGCGTATCTTGTTAGGAGTCCAGAGTCAAATCGTAGACTCGGAATATTCCCAGACGTTTTGCCAGCATTGTCAATGAGTTTTGCCATTCTCAGCATCAAACTACAACTCGTAAAAGAGACCAATTTTCTGCCGAAACGGTTGTGCTATCACTCCTCTTTCTGTCCTAGCCCCTCTAGCAATTTCTTATCCTGTTGTCTATCACAGCTTCCGTTACAGAGGAATATCCGAATCATTTTTTTCAATTAATAATCACAGAATTCTACGTCCGTTAATCCTAGGCTTCTGATGACCATGCTCCTCATTGTTCCTATCTCTATTCCTTAATTGCTCTGAGGTGCAAAATAAGTAATATTGAAGAATAATAGTCACTTTAGAGTCTCATCACAACTACAGAATAAGATAGGAATATTGAGAAACACGGTTATCAGAAGCTTGCGATTAATGGACGTTAAATTCTGTGATAAAGAATTGGAAAAATTTACTCGCATATTCCTCGGTAACGGATACCCAAGAAGAGTAATATAAAGAAACATAGTAGCCGTGAAGAGCCGATGTCAGAACTGGTATTGTGAAGGCGGAGAATGAGCGATACCTCATTTAATTGAAAAGATTTGCCATTTGGAATAAATTGTTAAGATTAAATTATAACTCAATAAAGAACTAGATTATCGATGTATATCAAGGCTGTTTAAGGTCAAAATTTTCATACGAAAATTTTAGAAAGTCGATAAAATATCCATTTGACGTAACCAAATAAGAGTTTGGATGATTTACTAGGATAACGGTACCTGAATAGCAGACATCAAGACCAGGATGATGTGGCCTTTTCGTTTAGTTGCAGTCTCCTTTAGATGTATGTTGTTGATTTGACCTCATTTTCGCAAATTGATCGGAGCAACAGAGAGACCTTTGGGAATATACTCAGTCATATGTCCTCCATAATAGTATTCATGATGATTTCCAGCACCTGTGATAAATTGTAAATCTGTGCCTAGTAACGATGCCAGCGAAACGTCTCGGAATGTACCCGATGTGGAAGACGCAGGACCAGGTACGTTCCACAAGGTCTCTGACGCTCTGACTAAGTTTAGGAAACGATGCCAAATCAAAAGTAATTCTTGAAGTTGGACTGATGGTTAGTTTCAGCCATGACTTTTCACTAAAAATATTGTCACTGGGTAACCCATTTATATGAATGGATATGATCTTCGTAGTTGTAGTAATTTATCTTCACCTTTATAACTTCGCAAAGATTTAAATATAAGATATAAACTTGTCAGTTGGCTCTTGCTTACATTTTTGATCCTATGAATGAAATTAAACCTAAAACTGTATTTACCTTATTCTTGCATTGTAATTACATTTATCTGCTTCTTATCCATTCTTTAAATGGGCTATAAGCAATCTCATCTTGTAATCTTCTTAATCAACTCAATTATGATACTGGTTCTTTTATTTATCAAGATATATGAATGGAGAATATAGGAAAGGAATATATAAAAGAAACCAGAGATGGTAGAAAATTCTTGTGAAAGTTTCTAATTATATTACATTTCAATGCCATAAAATTAGAGTTCGTGTTTAAAATATCTCATATTTTAAGATTATATTCACTTTAGTGCCATTCTTCGTTAATAAGGAAGCATCCATTAGATTAAGGGAATTGACTTAGTAAATACTAATTTATCCTTATTTCAGTTTAGCCATTGTTTTTGTTGGGATTACTTCCATTTCGAGTAGAAGAGTAGGAGATTACCTCGGAAACAGCGTCAGCATGAATCTTCCAGTAAAGCCAATTGACAGCTGGTCAAGAGGA